GTTAATAAGAGGAGGAAGCTACGGAAATATCCCTCATTGATAGGACGCCAGAATCCTTAAACAGTTAGAAGATTTACAGCAACCGGGTCAAAATTATCCTCGCCTCAGATCGGCAAGTCTTCCGAAAGGATCTTTGAAACGAACAATGGTTAATTCCAAAGTCCTTTACAGCTACATGAGGCAGAGTAGACGGAACAAGGATTCAATCCAACTGCTGCGAACGGCCGTGGGCGCGGAAATCTCAGATGACAATGATAAGGCGGAAGTTCTCTCACCTTCTCCGCTCCGTCGTGGCAAACGAAGCTATTTTTTTCACACTCGCCTGTGAAGATAAGGAAACGCCTACTATTAAGGAAGTTCTCTTCACCAAATTAATCACTGAGAAATAGTTATTAAACCTGGATTAATCCTCATTCCAAGGACCTTATCTAATCCCGGCCAAGCTGCTGAAGGAGCTAGTTCTCTAAATGTCCAAAACGCTAGCCTCGCAGGTTGACTCAGTCTTTAAACAGGAGGTTAACAAAAAGAGGAAGCTTTGGAAATATCCTTCCTTGACCTGACAACAGAATTCCTAAACAGTAATAAGTTACATAGAGACCGGGCCAAAATTATCCTCGCATGAGATCGGCAAGTCTTCGAAAAGGATCTTTGGAGCGGACCATGGTTAATTTGAATGTTCTTTATGGTTACGGTAGGCAGAAGAGGCGAAGAAGGAGTCCATTCCTAAACAGTTATAAGATTTACAGCAACCGGGTCAAAATTATCCTCGCCTGAGATCAGCAAGTCTTCGGAAAGGATCTTTGAAACGAACCAAAGTCGTATACAGCTACATAAGGCACAGTAGGCGGAACAAGGATCCCATCCAACTACTCTGAATGGCCGACGGCGCGGAAATCTCACATGACAAGGGAAAGGCTGAAACTCTCTCTTACTTCCTCCTGTCCGTAGTGACAAACAAACCTGTGAATATAAAGGAAGACCTACGATAAAAAAAGTCTTCTTCACGAAATTTATCGCGCTCGAAAACAGTAATTAAAAATGAAAGTATCGCCCCTACCAAGCCCTGATATAATCCCACTCAAACTGCTGATTGAGTTAGTTCCCAAAATGTCCAAACCGGTAACCTTTCTCTTTTAAAAGTCATTTGCTACTGGGAGTATACCCTCCGACTGGAAGTCCGCAACCATTACTCAGCTGCGCCTAACTACAGACCAGTGAGTCTTACGTTCATTTGTTGCAAAATCTTAGAGAAAACTATTAGGAAGTATTGATGTATATTATCGAGTAGCATCACATCCTCTTTAATGTCCAACACTTCTTTTGAATTGGTTAGTCCCGTCTCATGAGTCTGCTCTTTCCATTCGAACGCTGAACCAACACAAACGACAAGGGTTATGTGGTATGCGCCATTTGCATCTACTTTAAAAAGGCCTTCGACGGCGTTTATCATCAACGTGTCTTATAAAAACTGCGAAACGCACATATTTGTGGACGCCGTCTTGTATGAATTCAGAGTTTTGCCGATACAAGCGAAGATGCGAGTTCCAGGAACTAGTTGATCAGAAGAAGAAGCGATCGCTGGAAAAACGACTTTATTCGCATTGTTCCAGCGATCGCTTTTTCTTCTGATTCTGTTTTTTTGACTAGACGGTCCTAAAGAGTGCAGGTCGGGCGCCAGCGGTCGACGGAGGTAGGCGTGGTGATTGGCCTCCCACAGGGCTCAGTCTTAGGCCCCACGTTATTCTTCGTTTTCATAAGTGACTGCGTCAAGGACCCAGACTGTGATGCCATCCTGTTTGCTGACGACGTAAAATGCGGCAGACGGACACCACCTGCAGAACAACATTAACAGGCTCAAGGACTGGTCATAGTGCTGACACATGTCCTGAAATGTGGGTAAGTGCTACTTTCTTCACGTCAGCAGCCGCAGAGCCCCCAGACTGAGGACGATTTTTCTTCACGGCAAACCACTGCAAACATGTTACGGCCAGTAGGACTCGGGCATGTGGATTACCTCTTCTCTCATACCAACTTCGCGATGGCGACTGATTCGGTCATGGCTACATTGCAAATTTATGGGACTTGATACTGACAGCTTTTCCAAGTTATTTGGCACTTTCGTGCGATCTCATCTAGAATATGCACACAGGCATGGATACCCTGGACTGTCAAAGACACTACCGGCTGAATGAAGGTTCAGGGGCGGGCGACAAAAATGACAGGCAATCTGAAAGCCCTGTCAAATTTCAAGCGGCGGCCTTATGCTAACACTCCACATTATAAACGGTCTAGACTGCTGTTTGGCTGCAAGTGATGGCTCCACTTAAGTTAACATGTGCACTCTGAGCAGTTATCTCCAAAACATACGCGCAGGTAAAGCAAGGATCAATGGACAAAAGTTCTTTTCCTGTGCAGAGTGATTGTATCCCTGGTTGCTGATGCTGTACTCTCCTTCTGTATTGACGCGTATTAAGCTTCCTAGTTAGCAGCCACACATTCACTCGCATAACCCATCACCCAACTTATATGCGCTAATGATTACTATTTCGGTACTAGTTAGCAGCTTCCTTCTTTTCGCTTGCAACTGTGTGCAAAATGTCTGTTTCAACTTTCCACTTCTCCTTGCTTTTCTCAAACGATTTGTAACCAGTAGGGGGTTAAAAGTCGTCCGTCTACATTTTCTTTATAAAACGAAGCTGAACTTAACTGTACTGAAATTCCCAATAGGAAAAAGGGGTGAATAGAGGACTACGGCACAACCGTTTCATCCTTTCGAAATTATGCTGCAGAACAAAAGGCAAATCACGTTGGTCCTGTCGAAAATCCATCCTCGGAAACGCACACAAGCAGGTTTTTTAAACCGGATTACCCTCCAACTAAACGGCTAAAATGCCTGAAACATGTCACGCAATTAAAGTCGAGACTGGAGTGTGGTGATAACAACCTGGCTATCGTTAAGGGGAAAATATGTTGGGAGGAATTTATGGCGTTGCAGTGTGTCCAGTGAGCAAATGTCGGACGGAATTCAATCACTGCGGTAACGCCGACACCATCGCGGAACCAGCTGCTCGAAGTGACAGCATTCCTTAACTTCTAACGATTAGTGTTCTGACCGAGAAAACGGACGTCAATGAAACCCATCAAGCAACAGAACGCGTCGGCGAAAATAAGATGCGCGGCAACGCAGTACTGTCAACAACAGCCGCAAATTGTAAGTGCTTCTATACAAATGTCCAAAGCCCCACATCTAAATTTAATCAGCTAAAATTTGCCTTATCGAACGGTCTCCAGATTTTATAACAGTACCGGAATCCTGGCTGACCGGAAATATTCAAAATAATTAAATAACATTAACTGAATACCAAATATATCCTAGGGACAAAGAGCATCGTCAGAGCGGTAGCATAATAAGGCATCTGAAAGAAGTCCGGTTGAAGCCAGCGCGCATTATATGTTCAGTGCACTTTCAAAGGCAATTTTATACTGGAACACGCCCTATCGACTGGAGCTGCTGGATAAAAGTCCAGTGTATAAAAGCGGTAGCAGAGCATCGACGACTAATTACCAGTCCGTCAGCCTAGCATGCATTCTCAGTATAATTTTGAGTGATTCACTAAGAGCGAATCAGTGCAATTGTCAGATGTTCAAAACCTTTTTATGAACAGCAAACACGAGATAAAAAAGCAAGATCCTGCACGACAAATCTGCTGTCATCTCTCCAGAGTTCGACCGGAGCTCCCGATGACAAGCATGCAGCTCACGTTGCTTTTATTGTCTTCTAAAAGATATTTGACGCCGTGTCACACTATAGATTGTTATACTAGCAGGAAAAAAATAAGGATCAGTGGCAACTTTCTTAAATGGATTAAAAACTTCATTGGGGGTCGGCACTACGTTAAGTGCATCGGCCAAGGGAAATCAGACCCTGCTGTCGTAGAGAGTGATGTTCCTCAGAGTCCAGTACTGCGAACAATTTTGCTCCTACTATACGTGGACGATTGCGCAAATGATTTACGCAATGAAGCAGCAATTTTCGCTCACAACATGAAAGTTAAGAGTGTAATTCAAGGTCCTACCGGTAAAAATAGACTGCAGATGCGACAAAATCTGTTGGACTAGTGGTCAAATCACTGGTAAGTAAATGACACATCGTCTGAATATCCAGACCGAATGTCTCAGCACGAGAAACTACCTTCTCAATGGTGCAGCTTCACATGACGTGAAGTCCACAAGGTCCTCAGTGTGCTGACGACGAACTGCCTAAAACCATCGATCCATTGTTGGTGAGAGGCAAAATATGCAATGTCCATTGCAGGGCAAAGTCAATATACAAATGGGGGTGCAGAGAGGGCAGCACTCGAAAGCAAAAGCAGATGGGGTATTCTTTAGGGCTTTCATAACTAACGCCCAAAGCTATCTGTTACTGTCTTGATAGCGGAATCGTATTTAGCTTTTCTAATGTCCGTGAACCTTACACAAACCACGTACTGCAATAAGGCAGCGCTTCATTGTAGAAAAATAGTAAAGACTTTTGAGAATAAATATGGACATCTATTCTTGTCAGGACTGCCTGCTCATATCATTATGTATGAGAGTGATAACGGGAAATATACACATAAAATCATTTGAATGGATGAACCACAGTTCCAGTGTGCCTCGTCCTTGTCAGCAGATTTGGAACATGTTAGCCGATGGGATCAACAAATGGACATTTGCTTCATTTTTGAAGCCATCACCTCAATGTGTTAGGGCAGACAAAGGGCCGACGAGTGTTCCGTCCATAAAAAAGAACTTCCCTTTACATGAACGCTGAGCTAAGCCCGACTGAGAGAAATGGAATTATTCCGCGCTCCAACCGGGACTATTTCGACTTGGTTACCACTTCACAGTTTTCGTCTGTGACATTCATACTGAAACCGAACGTACGAAATAGTTTTGTGCACCTTTGAATATTGTTTCACTCGTCGAAATCCCCCAAGAAACTGAACCAAGTGTAATTTGTTTATCAGCACGTTTCAACTGACCACTCAACTAACTTGCGGTTTATTACACCCTGGAAAAACATTGGCTCAAAATCTTGCCAGGTCTGAAGTTATTCCAGTCCTAAGAGATCTGCAAAGGGCTCAGTCGTTTCAGATTAAAATCCATAAGATTTATGAGATTTTAAGTAGTTTTTCGCCTATTGGGTTTTGAATACTCACCTCAGTTCGTCATAAACAATCCGACGTTTTCATTATAACATCGAAAGCGCAACTCTGCCTATTATATGACGACGATGTTTATGGAGTCTCAGCAATTTAAGTGAAATAGTACGGACAGCGACGGCACCTCGTTGAATATGAGTCTGGTGGGATGACCTTCGCATTCAGAACCTGTGCTCGCTGTACCTGCGCTTCCAGCCAACGACCAGAAAAGCGTGCAAAAAGCGTAATTACTGCAAAACGTGTGAGGTACGAAGACGAGCCTTGTGTTGGGTGCGCAGATATCCAAAGCAAAGTAGAAGAACTCGAAAAGGAGCTTGCTGATTCCAGGGCGTTCGTGAAACAGACCCTAGATTACGAGAGCGTGTCCAGTGTAAGAGTCCCAAAAACGAATAGCAAAACTCAAAAACGCAAAAAAATATCTCCTAGGGGTATCCTTAAACACGGATTTCAACTCAGTAGCTAAAATCGCAGACGCCGGTAACAGCAGGACAACGAAAATGAAGCCGCCGATAAGAGCAGATTCGATTCCCACGCAAAATAACTTATGCGATGTCACAACTCGCCTAAGCCTTTTGCTTTAAGCGACGGGTTTTCCCTTTGACAAGATGTGATATAACTAGGTCATCCAGTCTACTGCTGCCCTCTTGTTCTCGCAAACACCTCGAGTGCTCTACACAGGACGTATTTGAATGCGAATAAACTAACCATTGGGTAGATTGGAGATGAAACGCAACAACAGGTGTCTAAAGTCACACCTAGCCCTGATGGGTTGCTCTGGATAGTGGGTTGACTGCAAAAGTTTGCGTACAAGCAACAAATCCGTAAACAGTCCCCGCTCACATGCAGAGGCTTCTCTGGAAAGAAAAAAATATGGCGGACCATGTTTGCTAACAGTGTCTGGTCATTCAGGGCTTGTCTGAATCGAATGTAGTCAGACCTGAAATTTGGTAGAACCCATTCTTTAGCTGAAGAGTCCTGAGAAATTGACGTTAGAGGTAACGCAGTAATGCTCAACTCAGCCAAAAATGTAGCCGGAAAGCCGTTTGGAGCAAAATTGAGGTGCTTGCATACTAATACTAAAATGTCGTAACGAAACTAGACGGTCTATTACTTTACCATGCCGAACTATCTCCGGGTGTTTTAGCAGTAACCGAAACCTGGCTATCTAAAAATATCAGCTTTAGTGAAATAGCCTTCCCTGAAAACCAAATTTATCTGAGAAACAGATAACATTGTGAGGGTGGTGGTGCAGTCGTCTCTGCGAATGAAGGCCTGACAGTGTCGGAAAACACCAAAAAGTTTTCGTGCAGCACAGAAGCAATTTGGTCGACCACCAAAGCTACTGGAGTCCCTAAAATCTATGTCCTCACTGTCTACTGACAACGTAGAACAGACCAAATCGCCTACACGCAACTATTGCAGCAGGTGAAGAAATATTCCGGCAAACCTAACATTATGATCATGGGCGACTTCAACGCACCAGGAATTACTCCGAACACCTGTCCCGTGCGCTAAGGACAGAACCGTCAATCGCAGACTATGGATGTCAGGATAACACCAGAGTTATGAAGGAATTAACAATCAGAAGTCAAACGAACTGACAATCCAACACATGCCGAGCGCGTCACGTTGTGTTGTGTTCCATCCATTCAGTTAAACAACCAGTTAGTTTAAGAATGAGGAACAGGTAGCGAAAGGCGAGATAGTCTGGCTCCTCGGCACAGTACCCCCCCCCCCTCCGAGCCCAAAGGGCGGCGAAAACGACGCCGAAGGATATGCGCAAGTCTAAAACAAATGAGTGACCAACCGATCAGGAAAGTGCACATGACGACCACTGCGAGTGATATATACAGAGTCGTCCGTAGAAGTGTAAATACATCTGGTGGCGGAAGTGTTGAATTGATGATGACAGTCCGAGGTAGCGGTCAGGAGAGCAGAGGGAAAATACAACACGGTGGAATAGAGGCTTCAGGTGGGGAAGCAGAAGGTAAAGGACCACAGGGCTCATCCGGAAGAGTGTCGTGGATAGCAGCCTTGAGGCGGTCCTCACTCACGACTGTCGCGTTGAATGCTAAAATTCTTCGTCCCGTGATAGAGCACCCGGATGGGCCGTCATAGGGTGGTTCCTGAGACCGGCGGACTCGATCACATTGAAGGCAGACGTGAGAGCACGTTGCCAAGTCCTTCTTGATAAAAGACGGAGAGGCGAAAGACCTGGGAGGAACAGGAGAAAGTGTCCGCACAAGCTGCCGGAGGCGATGCAGGAGGTTGGTGGAATCCTCAACTGCGCCTCGCGGGGTTGGCGAGATCACCTCACCGGGAGTCGGACGGTGGTGAGCATTAGTTCGGCTGCGGAGCAGTCAAGGTCCGGCTTGAGATCGGAGCGGATGCCCAAGAGGACCAGGGGAATGTGGTCCGTCCTGTTCTCCGGATCGGCTGCGGCGCGTACGGAGGCCATCTGCTGGCGGTGAAACCGTATGACCATTCCGTTTGCAGCCGGGTGATAGGTTGTCGTCCGAATGCGGGTACAACCTAAAAAGGAGAGTAAAGACTGGAAGAGGTTAGACTCAGACTGGGCAGCACGGTCAGTCGTGACTGTGGATAGTGCACCAAAGATAGCAGCCCAACGACTGCGAGAAGCTTGGACCCCCATTGGAGCAGCAATTTTAGGCATGGGAATTGCTTCAGGCCACGGAGTGAACAGATCCACACAGGTGAGGAGATAGGAAAAATCATTGGACAGAGTCAGGGGACAAACAATATGCAGGTGAACGTAGTTAAACCTTTAACCAGGGCCGGGGAAGGTGCCAATGGGGGCCTTGTTGTTCCGCTGGATTTTACTCCGTTTACAGGCAATTCAAGCTCGTGTCCGTGCTTTCAGGTCTTTGCTTATCCCAGGCCAGACGAAACGGTCGGAACCGGCTTGTCGGTTGATCGACTCCCAGGGTGGGAGAGATGAGTGGCTTATGATCTGTGAAAATTGTGAACTCTCGACCTTTGAGTAAATCCCAGAAGTGCCCAACGGCAAGATAAGCAGCGAAAAGTTCACGTTCAAATGTGCAGTAGCGAGTTTCGGCCTTGGATAGTTTCCTGGAGCAGAAAGCAAAAAACAAGGTAGAATCTGGCAAACTTTGTTGCAAAACCGCGCCACCAGCAACATTAGAGGCAATGACCATCAGATATATGGGAGCATCAGCATGAAAGTTAGTCAGGAGGGTACCATCAGCCAAAAGGGCTTTTACTTGCTCAAATGACGTGATTGCTACTGATGTTAGGTTAAGGGTGCGCTTAGAACCTGAGAGGAGACTGATCAGAGGTAGGATGGTATCGGCACAGTTCGGGCGAAACCGGCGATAAAAGCTCACCATACCAAGGAATCGTTGCAACTGATGCTTCGAGGTAGGGAGTAGACCCGAATGGCGGCAACCTCTGAGGAAAGAGGTCGAATGCCGTATGACTCTATCAGATGACCTAAGAACACAAGAGAAGTGTCCCCTTGTACACATTTGTCAGTATGCAGAGGGATATCAAACTGCTGAAATCGGTCGAAAAGCAGGGTAAGGTATTGGAGATGTTCCTCGACGTTTCAACTGGCGACGAGAACATCATCAATATACGCATTAAAAATGGAAGATAACGTAAAAAACGGTCAATGAAACGTTGACAAGTCTGTGAGGCATTTCAGATTATTTTAGTTTATTTGGTAAGGATAATAGGCAAAGCCTTTGAAAACCCTATTAATTACATGTCAGCTCATTAGAAATAACTGTACACGAACAAAAAATATTCACCATAAAAACAGTACTTGGTTCATTTGAGTAGCATTGTCTTAAAGGAAGTATTTGTGGGAATCAGGGGTATAAGTTCAGATTCAGACCGTCGAGGGAAAACAGGGGACACAAATAATCATCCAAGCGTTTCTTGAAGAGTTGCAGGGATGTAGACTCCACGACTGACTGAGGGAGATCGTTCCATTTCTCCACTACCCTCTGCGTGAAAAACTCAGAACGAAGATTCAGCCTGGACATTGTTGTCCGGAACTTCATCGAGTGACCACGAAGATTGGGTGAAAGATGCCACTAAAACATGTCCTCAAATTTAAGTCCATACTCAAGGCCATGTATTATCTTGTAGACGAGGATAAGATCACCTCTTTGCTGCCTGTAACACAGAGGGAATAAATTAAGGCAATTCAGTCTGTCTGTGTAGAAATGGATTTTTAGACCGTTTACCAGCTTTGTTGCACACCGTTGTACCCGTTCGAGGCATTCTTGGTCCTTTACCAGCCATGGACGCCATGCTTGTATGCCATATTCTAAGTGGGGCCGAACAAATGTGCCGTAAACTCTCCAAAAAACTTTTTGGTCAAAATTTACGAAAGCACTTTTTATTGCATGCAGCACTCCCATGGCGTTTTTTGCAGCCTTGTGACACTGCAGTGTTGGTTTCAGGTTGTTCTGTATCCAAACCCCGAGATCCTTCTGTGAAGATTCTGCGGGGAGCCTTATATCTTTCAGGTGATAACTCCTAAGACTCTCATTTGAATGAGAGTTGGTTGGACGCAGATGAAGGACGGCACACTTCTCCACATTGAAATCTATAAGCTATTTCTTCGACCACGTCTGCAGTCGGTGCAGATTATCTTGAAGGGATCTCTGATCATTCGGACCCTTAATGACTTGCCAGAGCTTAACGTCGTCTGCAAACATTATTTTGCCGCAGTCGAGTTCCTGAAAGCTGTCGTTAACGTAAAGGATGAAGAGCAATGGTCCCAGAACTGAGCCTTGCGGCACACCACTGGTCATATTCACCCATTCTGACATATCATCCCCGATACAGACACGTTGTTTCCGACCAACCAGAAACGTCCTAATCCAGTTCAGAAGAACGCCCCGGATGCCGATGTCGCTCAATTTGTGAAGAAGATGTTGGTGTGGGACAGTGTCAAAAGCTTACGAAAGCATACTAAGGAACTCAACCAAGTCAAAAGGAGTCGTCACTGCCGTTTTGGGAATGTCCTTAGTCACAATCGGAATTTTATGAAAAGCCCAGACTAAATCGATCTTCAAGAAGACGGTTTTTCCACAGAGAGCTCCGACAAAGTCCTGTAAGGTGAGGAACCGGAAACCGATCGGGCATAGTAATATTGTTTACGACTCTATAATCGCACAAAGGTGCCAGTCATTCGTATTTGATTTAGGAACCATTTGCAAAGGAGATGCCCAGGGACTGTTAGACGGTCAAATAATCCCTAGTTGTAGAATGTGCTCAAATTCAGCTTTGGCAGCCGCAAGACGCACTGGAGCAAGACGACCGGAAAGAGAGAAAAGGGGAAAACCAGTCGTTTTTATGTGATGAACAATATCATGGGGCAATGAGGTGTCTGAAAAATGGGGCTCAATGATAGTTAGGATATTTTGCTAGAATTCAACCAAATGGAGAGTCAGGGTTTAAGTCAAGGACGGACAGATGGTTAGAAGCTGAGGATGGAGGAAATCCTTTGACGATGAGGGTAGTTGCGCGACCATGGAGGCGAATATGTCTGCAATCCACCAGAAGGTCAAGGACGGCCAAAAATCAGCACCAAAATAGTGGTGGGAACATCAGCAGTCACAAATGTCCAGAGGAATAATCGCCGGAAACCAATATCCAGAGAGAAGGATAGAAATCAAAAGGTTGTAATGCGGATGAGTTTACGGCTTGAAGATAAAGCCCGTGGTTTGGGCAAGGTCACTCGGCTGACGTAGGAGGGATAACACTAGTTTAAGCGCCAGTGTCGACTATAAATGCCTGCCATTCGTGTTATGACTGACGTAATAGGTGCGACCCGTAGAGTTGCCAGAGAGCTCAGCAACATTTTATCTCCGGCCGAGGCGTTTCCCTGCGTGGACTTAAACGAGCAGGGTGGGACACAGCGCCTCGCCTTATCGCCGTAGTTGACATGATTCCAGCATAGGCTTGCGGCCCTGGTACGAGAGCGGGAGCAACGACGGTCACGGCCGAAGGAACTTGGAGAGGGACCGGGAGATCGGCGCAGCTGCAAAGTGGCAACAGTTACTGACGACTGGGCAATTTGTGTCTTAAGTTCAGCCAGGTCAGGTGTGGACACGGTGAGAGGCTTGGACACCGTAGGGGATAACAAACGCTCAACCTCCATCATACGGTCGGTCATCTCCTCTAGCTTTGATATGTGTAGGTCATCTGAGCCGGAGGCCGAGATTGTTTGTACCGACGTCGGCAGACTTTCTAAGTACATCCCTTTAAAGAACTTGTTGTCGATGGCCATGCTCAGAAAGAAAGAACGCATACGACGCAAGAGTTCCGATGGCTTGCGATCACCTAAGGCCTCCTCTTTTACCAGTGCGTGGTAACGCCACCGATTGGAGACTAATGACAGGCGAAGGAGTTCAACCTTTAACTTGGTGTAGGGAACATCAGTCGGGAAATCTCTCAGAAACGTCTGCACTTGGGAAAGAATAGTCGGAGGAGGGGCCTCGACCAATTATAGTATTTGTCCGTTTCACGTGCTATCTTGGCGGAGAGAAATGTCGCCTCGATAGGAAAAAAATAAAGTTTTCGCGCATCTTGCCAGAAATCTGGGAGAGACGAAACAAGTCCACTGAGATAAATAGTGGAATCGTTGGAATTAGTAGAAGTTGTGATGGTAGAAAGGAAGAAGGCAAACGGACTGTATGCAAAGAGAAACAACAAAGTAAAGGTATAAGCGCGAACGTCAAAAGGTCACCACTGTGGCTGGCGCTAAGGACAGAACCGTCAATCCCAGACTATGGATGTCAGGATAACACCAGAATTATGAAGGAATTAACAATCAAAAGTCAAACGACGTGACAATCCAACACATGCAGGCGCGTCACGTTGTGTTGTGTTCCATCCATTCAGTTAAACAACCATTTAGTTTAAGAATGAGAAACAGGTAAGGAAAGGCAAGATAGTCTGGCGCCTCGGCACACAACCTCCAAGAGTCAGATCCAAAACTGACATACAATATACGTCCGCAGGGCAAAGGACTCAAGGCGTTTTTCACTCAACATGCTATGTTTCCAACTAGAACTCGTGAAGCACGAAGGGCAAACTGCCTGGACCTAGTTTTAGGAAAGCATCAGACGGCATAGATTAGGTCATCACACTCACGCCCGTCGACCGAAATGACCATGTAGTGCATATGTCGGATTATTCGTTATTGGCCGTTTCGCATACTTCGGCCCATATAAGAGCAATGTTTGGCGGGGCGACGTCAATCAGATGAGAAGAGACTTATCGGATCTCAACTGGAGGTCGATGTTTGCAGGTAGTGCCAACGATGATTGGGAGTTTTTCAAGAATGTCCTTGTGCAGCTCATCAACGGCCACTGCCCACTAACTAGTTTAAGGTTTGACAAACGCTCTGGGTGGCTGAATAGCAACCTACAGAAAGAAATCCCCAAGAGGCTTAAATTATGGACAAAATACTGTGTCACTAGGCAAGTTGAATATTTTTACACCTTCAAAAACAGAGTAACAAACTGAAATGATGATTAATGAAACGTAGCGTGAAGTTGAGAAGAATGTGCTTCAGAAATCACCGAAGAACCAAAAATTACTCTATAGCTACCTCCGGCGAACTACACGGAACACACAACAAACCCCATTAATAAGGACAACTGATGGTGTTGAGATTGATGCCATTAGAGACAAAGCTGCATTTTTTCGTAAAAGAACCGCAAACCCTAAGCATCCGTGATATACTGATCTGTGATGGGTCTTGTACGTAGATAATTTGAGGTATTGAACGAATCCAAGTCGCCAGGACCAGAAGAGACTCCACCCAATCTTCTCAAGAAAGTTGCCAGTTAGCCTCCTTGTACTTTGTCGATGCTCTTTCAAACGCCATTTGACATTGAACACTTCTTTTGGTTTGGGAGCAGGTGCATATCACTCCGCTATGCAAAGGAGATAGCAAGACACCGACAACAAATCACATACTCATAAGCTTAACATGTACTCTCTGCAAAGATATGGAGAGTATCATAAAGAGTGAACTGCTACATTTCCTTGAAGGCCACGGACTGCTATCGAAATGTCAACATGGGTTCCAGAAAGGAAGATCCTGCGAGATAAACTTACTGCAATCTCTCCAGAGCTGGACCCGAGGTCTCAGCAACAAGCGCGCGGTCCAGATTACTTTCATTGACTTCCGGGGGGAGTTTCACGCTGTGCCATACCAGAGGCTGTTACGCAGGCTGAAAAGGATGGGGATCTGAGGCAACTTCCTTGTTAGTCGACAACAAGTTTGTGCATCGGTCATGGGAAATCAGATCCTGCTGTGGTCGAGAGTGGTGTCTCCCAAGGTTCAGTACTGGGACCTATTTTGTTTCTTCTATATACAAACGACGCCCCCAGGGTTTAGACTGCGAAGCAGCAATGTTTGGCGATGACATGAAGATATGGAGTGTAATTCGGGACGCTGCTGACGAAGACAGACTGCATATGAACCTAATTCGGACAGACGAGTGGTCAAACCGTTGGCTCCTGCAATTCAACGTTGGTAGGTGTAGCATACTTTACCTACAGCCAGATACTCCATCACAAAAGACTACTTTCTGGGCCGTGCAGCCCTACAAGGGATCGAAGGTCCAACGGACCTCGGTTTGTTGACGGCGAATCCACCAAAACCATCCGCGCTTTGTTCGACAATGGCAAGAAGCGCAATGTGCGTACTGTCAGTCATCAAGCTAATTTTAATGGATTTTAATGATGGTGCTTTTTCAAAGACATTCAGAGCATTCGTCCAGTCGCACTTGGAGTACGGCATACAATCTTGGAGACGGTGGGCGGTTGAGGATCATAACTGCCTCGAAAAAGTTCAGAAGAGAGGCACGAAGATGGTTAGGGGTCAACGTTATTTCCCTATGTAACCCACCTAGTAAATATGAACCCCTTCCATTTGCGTAACAGGTACATTCTCTCGCAAGAGTTTCACATTTTAAAGGGGTTGGAATGCCACCTGATCTTTGAGGACTTTTTGAAATTCCTACCACGACCAAACTCCGAGGTCATTCGTCTGAACTGAGGATGTGCGAAAGATCTTCTCTCTTCAACTGGTCCAACCATGGAATGCCCTTCCAGCGGATGTTGTGGTGTCACTATCTATACAAAGCTTCAACGAGAACTTTGACCTTTTCATATTCCGAAATGGTCAAGAGCGATGAGATTTCGAGGTCATCCCCTGTAACTCACTTCCATTTTGTCCTAACATTAAGGACTCGATTGATCTATTTCAGCCCAAAAATGCTTCTGTACACCACACATGTTTACGTTGGGAATAGGGTACTCAAAAGCGTGTGCCTATTTCCCTCAATAAACTGAACTGTAGTGAACTGATTACAAAGAACGCAAAGAGCAGGTGAAACGTAAGTGGCGAAATAGATACTATAAGCTGCTGGACAAGACCAAGGGCGGTTGGTGAAAGTCCTGAATACTCGAAAGTCCGAATTTTACAAGTGCAGACTTGGTGCGCTTAGCCCCTTCCTCCAAGGTATAAACGAATCCATGGACTGATACTAAAACATTGCGATTTTAAGAGGTAGTTGCTATGTCCTACAAATCAGGGGCCCATTCTCGTCTACCAGAACAACTAATTTCTTTTGAAATCCTATAAAACCCTGTCGCATGTGTACCCCCAGGAGGTAGTCGTGCGTTTTTAGCGACCTAGCAATTATGGACACAGTAAAGGAATCGCGGGTAATAAGTACGCAACTATGTAGCGATTTCGTCGATCCGAAGCTTCTCAGACTCAGTCTAAGTGTTTATGGATTGATTTTCGAGCTAAACTCCACAATCTACTGCAAAATACCGACGCAATTCTCACAAGCTACCAACAAGCATTTGGTAGTATAAAATTATTAGATGATCTAAAATGCTGACAGCAAAAGTGACTGTAGCAGATCACATATGCTAATTGTGCCGATCGCATGTCGTTGTATGAAGAACCTGCGATGTAACTCGGCTTATTAATGACCATAAGCATTTCCCATGTAATTGCTTTATCAACTCAAACAATGCTAAGGATAAGACTGAACCCTTGAATGTGTCCGAGCTTAAGTGCACAGCAAGTGCTCACGTGACAAATATATAGGAATATTTTACTTAAAAAAGTCAAGTTGTTGACCACGTGTTTTCGGTAATTCTTCGTTAGGCCAATGCACTAACATGAAGGAATGAAAATGTAGAAAATTAACAGCATTTATAGAAGTCTCAAGGGCCATTGGGTCATTATCAATTATCTTCACCACGCCGCCGCATGACGAGGTCGGCGGGTTTTGGTCCTTAATGCTAGACGGAGGGTGCAAAACCGTGTTTAATTAATGTTCTTGGATTGAGAACACACAGTACCCATCACTGTAATTAGGAATTAAAGGTGACATGTCGTCGTCGCTTGAACTTAGCGTTGGTTAAGCAAATAGGGCGCTTGTGTCGGAGTTTTCTGACTGGCTAGGTCTCTGCGTCTCCTGCAAAATACTATCTCATGAATAAATCTTTCTTTACTGCAGTCGCGACAGTCGGCTTTGCGGCGCGTTTCGAAAACTTTCGGAGTATAAATCTTTCTGGGTATCCGATTTCCCGAAATATTTTCCGCAGCTGTTGAAACTCTTCTTTAGTATCTTCGGGTGAGCAGATGCGTCTCACTCTATCTGCCAATCCCTGAACTAACTTTCGTTTGATGTTTAGGGGAACAAATCTGTGGAAGTTAACATATTTTCCGTCCGGGTTTCCTTTCGAAACACCCTGCGCTGGATACACCCATCGTCTTGCCCGTGCAGAATCACATCGATAATGACAAATTCGCTGGTTTTTAATTTGAAGATAAGTGGAGGATATTAATTTAAGTGGTTTTTCTGTAAGACCTACCGATTTTAGTACCTGTTTTTGTGGTTGAATTTCCTTAAATACAGGCCTCCTCTCTCAGAACTGCCCGCTGCCATCTCCTTTAGAGTTTCGCTAGTTTATGCCCGTTGTTCACTAATCGAACTCTGCAATTCTCATTTTGTGCATGCGATTTCTCTCTATCTGTTGTAATTGATTTTTACATCGTCAGCCCCTAGCTGAAATTCAGTCAACTTGTCTACCAGAAGTTTTATTAATCACAACTTGCCTCGAGAGAGATGAGACCAAAAGTCACTGGTCGACTTAAGCTCTCGGCTCTTGTAAGCAAACATGGCCTAACTAAACGTTAGTCAGAAGCTTTACCTAAATTTAAGTCAGATGCTATTACTAGTCAGTCGTCAC